GGGCCCCCACAAGCCTGAAGGGTAGGGGCCCCCAGATGATCGAAGGGGGCCCCCCTACCAAATACTGCAGGGGGCCCCCTAGTTAACCGTAGAGGGTCACCGTAGAATATCGCTGGGGGGCCCCCTAGAGGGCCCCCCCAAGGGGGCCCCTAGAGGGGCCCCCCCGGGGGGCCCCTAGGGGGGCCCCCTTCCGTGTATATTGTTGCTTACATGTTTGTTATGCCACTCACACTAGAGGGGAGGACACCATAGGGGCCCCTTCACTGCGGGGGCCCCCCAAGCTTTGTTGCAAGGGGTAGACAGGGGCCCCCCTGGGGGGCCCCCCTAGGGGGCCCCCCTCCCCAGTAGAGAGAGGTAGGGGGGAGAGGGTTAAGCAGAACCTTGTATGAGCTTTATAGAGACAGAGACAGATGAAAGTATATAAAAAGTAATGATAGATGTTTTTGTTGTTTTTGTTGTTTTTTTTTATTTTCTACCCTAGAAGAGAAACAAAAAAACAAAAAGATAAATTAGTTTAGGGTTTAGGGGCGGGAGCCAGTTGCTGTGCTGAGGTGTACATACACCCCAAATAACCACAATCTAAATAAAGAAAGAAGTAATAGAGACAGAAGAAAATAGAAAAATAAAATAAAGAAAATGAAGACGGAGACAAAAAGGTGTACAGACGACTCTCCTTAGTGGAGGGGTTAGGAGGTATAGTATAGTCTAGGGTTTAGGGTTTAGGGTTTAGGGTTTAGGGTTTAGGATTAGGGTTTAGAGTGTAGGGTTTAGAATTAGGGTTTAGGGTTTAGGGTTTAGCATTTATTGTTCAGGTTTAAAGTTTATGGTTTACTATTTAAGCCTCATCGTTCAGAGTTTAGGGTTTAGGGTTTAGGGTTATTTATGGTTTATGTTCTAGGGTTTAGGGTTTAGGGTTTAGGGTTTAGGGTTTAGGGTTTATCTTGTTCTAGCACAGCAGTGGGAGGAGGGGTTTCTACGGTTCCTTATAAGCAGAATAAAAAGTATTTATTTATTTAATTATAAAAAATAATTAAATAAAATAAAATAATTTATTAAATAAATAAACAAAAACACTGAAATATAAACCCTAGGATACACCTGGGGGCCCCAAACCCTGAGAGGCCCCCTCCTCCACCGACCCCACCACCTTTAGGGTTCTGTTCCTTTTGCTTCTGGCTGCGTTTGTCTTCTTTTTTTCTTTTTTCTTTTTATTTTTATTTCTTTTTGTTTTATTTATTTTTATCTTCTTACACCAGCTGCAGATACACCGTGATTTCGGGGGCCCCGGGAACGCAAGATGCGCTGCAGCAGACGCAGCAGCACACCAGCAGCAGCAACAGCAACAGCAGCAGCAGCAGCAGCAGCAGCACCTCTAGCGGCCTCGGGGCCCTTTCCCCTGCTGCAGCTGCCATCTCAGACCCTCCACATTCCCTGTGTATTGCTGGGGGCCCCTGGGGGCCCCCACTTGCCTAGGGGTATCGGGGGCCCTATCAGTAGCTCCTAAACCCTCGTAAACCCTAAACCCTAAACCCTTTTTTTCGTGCGGATGAGAGCGCCGCAGGCTCCTCGCGCTGTGCCTTTGGTGGGGAACCTCTCTGGGGCCCCCACCGGGGGCCTGAGTGGTTCGGGGGCCCCCCTGGGGGCCCTTGGGGGGGCCCTAGGGGGGCCCCTCGCGGGGGCCCCCCCGCCCCTCAGCCGCTCTGTAGGGACACTGGGTACTGGGTCGTGGATGAGGTTTGCGCTGCAGCGGACGTCGGCGCTGCTGGCGAGCGAGAAGGAGAAGCAGGGCCCCCAGAGGCAGAAAGAGACAGAGTCTCCTGCTGCTGCTGCTGCTGCTGCTGCTACTCCTGCTGCTGCTGCTGCTGCTGCGCCTGCTGCTGCTGAGGCACAAACTCGGCAACGCGAAAGCGAAGAGCTGGAGAGTGGTAGGCAGCGGCCATCCGCGCTGCAGGAAGAACAGCAGCAGCAGCAGCAGCAGCAGCAGCAGCAGCAGCATGCAACACAAGACGATGAGGAGGAGCAGCAGGAGGAGGAAGAGCAGCAGCAGCAGCAGCAGCAGCAGCAGGGTAAGACTAAGTCGCGGCGCAGCAAAAGGGCCCCCTCAGGGTCTGACCCTTCTGCAGCAAAGAGGCGGAGAGCAGCAGCAGCTGCTGGGGGCCCCCAACCCTCGGGGAGAGAGGGGGGCCCCCAGGGGCCCCCCAGCCTCTCTATTGACGAGGCAGAAGGAGAGGAGAGCAGGAAGGGTACGAAGGAGACAGAGGGGCCCCCAGCTAGAGCGAAGAAGCAGACACAGAAACAAAGAAGAACAGCAGCAGCAGCAGCAGCAGCAACAGCAGCAGCAGCAGAAGAGGAAGCAGCTGCAGCAGAAGCAACAGACACAGCTGCAGCAACAGAGTCTGCTCTCCCCTCTGAACAAGATGTAGATAACGACAAGCAGAAGCAGCAACAGCAGCAGCAGCAGCAGCAAAAACAGCAGCAGCAGGAGAGACGTGGGTCTTCTGCTGCTGCGGGGGGGGCCCCCAACACCCCTGGGGGCCCCCTCAGCGCGCAGCTGCATGCGGAAGCAGCAGCAGCAGCAGAGGAAGCAGCAGATGAGAGGGGGCCCCCCGCTGAAGACGAAAGGGCCCCCTCACCGCCACCCCCAAGGCACAAGGGACTGAAGCAGCAGCAGCAAAAGCAGCAGCAGCAGCAGCAGAAGCAGCAGCAGCAGCAGCAGCAAAAGCAACAGCAGCAGCAGCAGCAGCAGCAGAGAGATGGCAAACGAGCATCAAAGGAGACAGCTGAAAGCTTCTCCTTTGTTGTAGGTCTCATAGGGGGCCTCGCTGTGCCGGCCTCTGCTGCTGCTGCTGCTGCTGCTGCTTCTGCTTCGCCTAGCAGCAAGCAGCAGCAGCAGCAACAAAAGCAGCAGCAGCAGCAGGAAGAACACGAGCAGCAAACTGAGAGGCGCAGAAGACACCACAAGGGCCCCCGAAGACGTATGACTGAATTTGCTGCAGCAGCAGCAGCAGCAGCAGCAGAGGGGCCCCCAGAGGAGACCCAGGGGCCCCCCGACGCCGGCAGCAGTCCCCATAGCGACAGCAGCAGCAGCACAAGGCCCCACCGCCACCTGCAGCAGCAACAGCAGCAGCAGCAACAGCAGCAGCAGCAGCAGCAGGAGAAAGAGAAGGCCCGCAAGAGACACAAAGACCGCCGCCGCCACCACCGTTCAGCAGAAACCACCTCAGCTCAAGGGGGCCCCTCGGGGGCCCCCCGAGGGGCCCCCATGGACGAGGGGGGCCCCCCAGGGGCCCCCATGGATGAGGGGGGCCCCTTCGAGGAGTCCCCGGGGGCCCCGGGGGCCCCGGGGGCCCCACAGGGTTCAGTAAAGGAGAGTGTGAAGGCCCGCAGACGAGGGGGCCCCCCCGCAATGTCAGTAGGGGTTCAGGCGGGGCCCCCCGGGTCTGCTTGCTTCTCTACTGTATGGGCCCTTGATCTGCATGCTGCTTCTTTGCTGCAGCAGCAGCAGGAGCAGCAGCAGCTGAGACGATTGATAGGAGAGCAGGAGAAAGTGGGGGCCCCCCCTGCTGCTGCTGCTGCTGCTGCTGAGTCTGAACCTCCTGCTGAGGGGGGCCCCCCACAGCGAACTGCAGCAGACACAAGAGGACCCACCCGCCTGCAGCAGCACACCCCTCCCGCTGCTGCAGCAGCAGCAGCAGCAGCTGCTGCTGCTGCTGCTACTGCTGCGTGGATACCGAAGCCGCTGTATTCAGATAGTTCTTCTGATGAGGAGGCCCTCCATAGGGGGCCCCCAAGGGGGGCACAGGGGGCCCCCCTGCTGCAGCCTCGTTATCTTTCCTTCGGCAACAGCGCCAGCTGTACCCTCTTCCCCTCTCCTGCAGCAGCAACAGCAGCAGCAACAGCAGCAGCAACAGCTCCTGCTGCAGCAGCTGCGTCCGAGTGGAGGGGCCCTACAGGAGGTTTTGCAGGGGCCCCTTCCCTGAATCCCTCCCTGCCTGGGGGCCCCCTCGGGGGCCCCCTCGGGGGCCCCCAGGGGGGCCCCCAGGGGGGCCCCCCTGGTGAGGCTGCGCGGCTAGTGAGGGCCCTGCAGCGCGTACACCGCAGGCTGGTGCTGCGGGGGCAAAGCGCTGTGCTGCGGAGCGACAGCAGCAGCACAAACTTCCCCTCCCCCTCTACCCAGCGCAGACATCCCTGCTAGGCAGCCGCCTCTGCTGCCGATGAGCCCTCAAGCGCCGGAAGCAGCAGCAGCAACTGCAGCACCAACAGCAACAGCAGCAGCAGCAGCAGCAGCAGCAACAGGGTATGGAGCAGCAGCTGCTGCAGCCAACCTCCGTCGCCGCCACCCCCGCAGCAGCGCACCCCCCGCTTTGTGTGTCTATGGGGGGCCCCGGGGGGCCCCCCGATACCCCTTCAGCAGCAGCAGCGACTCGGATGGGGCCCCCACAGAGAAGCCTTCAGTTCCACCGAGCAGCAGCAGCAGTAGCAGCAGCAGTAGCAACACCAATAGGGCCAGCAGCAGCAGCAGCAACAGCAGCAACAGCAGCAGCAGCAGCAGCAGCACTGGCAGCAGTCCGAGTACCAGCAGCAGGAGAGCAGCAAACGAAAAAGAATCTGTACCCCCAGCCCCCTTGGGGGCCCCCGAGACACCGCCGAGGCCGGGGGCCCCCCGGGGGCCCCCAGGGGCCCCTCCAGGGTTATCGGAAGATACACAGATGCGGCACAGTACTGACGCTGCAGCAGCAGCAGCGGCAGAAGCAGCAGCAGCAGCTGCAGCAGCTGCTGCTGCTGCAGAAGCAGCAGCAGATGCTGCCACGCCGCTGCTGCTCGAAGCGCCCAGCATATCCGCTGGGTGGGGCCCCACAGAGCAGCAGCTGAGGGGAAGGAGACAGCAGCAGCTGCTGCAGCAGCAGCAAGAACAGCAGCAGCAAGAACAGCAGCAGCAAGAGATGCAGCAGCAGCAAGAGCAGCAGCAGCAAGCGCTGCAGCAGCAGCAAGAACAGCTA